GCGACGCCTCCGTCCCCCAGTGGCCATCGCCCGGGAGCCCAGCGCCTCGGCTGACGAATCGCCCCAGTTCCAGAGAAACGCACGCCGAGCGGCGAGGGCCACTTCCCAGCCCGCACGGGACTCTGTTTCTAACTGACTGAACCGGACGCGTGGGACCCAGGCCTTTGGGAGAGGCCGTGGGAGGGAGTGAAGTTTTCTTCCCCAGCCTTTCGGGAAGGCTGCCCGTGGCCGCGTGGGGACAGGGCGGGCGGGAGAGCTGCGGCCGCGTAAAGGTCACAGCCAGCTTGGTCTGGCCCTCAGGTCCAGGTTGGGAGCCACCTGTGCGCAGCTCCTGGCTGCATCCCTGAAGGCCCTGGGGGTGGCGGGAGGCGGGTCTGCGGGGAGGGCCAGCTGGGGACAGGCCCTGGGTGCACGGTGAGGCCAGCACCCTCGCTGGGGAATTCAGTGTTTCCGGCCTGTTGCCTTTGGGGTAAAACGATCCGATCCTCTTTTTGAAGTCAGCACGGCTGTCAGGCCAGAGGGGACCAGCCGCACCGCCATCAGCATGAGGTCCTGTTTGAATTCCTGCCATGTGACCTTGAGCACATTGCTTTGCCTCTCATCTGTGAAGTCTCCTCATCTGTGAAGTGGGCCATTGGAAACACTAAATGGAATGAAACAGGAGCTGCCCGGTTGCTCAGTGAACATATCAACAGCTGATCACAATGACTGCACGATTTTCCCTTTTTGGTTTCTGTGAAATGAATTTATTTAAAAAGAAGTCTACAGAAGTCAACCGCGTGCGTGTGTGTGTGTGTGTGTGTGTGTGTGAACCCTGAGATAGCGGGTGAGGAGGACATGCCGGTGTGACCTCAGGCTGGAGAGGGAGCAGGCACAGAGCTCAGCCCTCGAGGCCACTGGTGCTTCCTGTGGGCTGAGAGGGAGGAGGCCGGAGCAGAGAGGAGCGGTGCTGAGACTTATGGGAAAATGTCCACATTCGAGTTAACTTGGGAAATGACCTTCCTTCAGAGGGTGGGGCTTGTGCCCACTCACTCTGGTCTGGGAGTCCCTGGCGATGTCCTCAGGGCTCCAGCCTGTCTCCATGCAGGCCCCCACTCCTGGAAGCTGGGTCCAGGTCCAGATGCTGCTGCTGGTCAGCAAAGGCAGCTGTCGGCTGCAAGCCTGCTTTGTCCGAGTGCAGGGACCAGAGGTCTCGCCACGCTCCTGCTTTGCTGCTTCTCCTGTCCGGCGTGGGCTCCTGTCTGTCACTGCTGGAGGAGGGGCCATGACCTGTCCTCTCATGTGACACGTTGCACTGACTGCCCAAATCCAGCTATTGCCTCAGTGTTCAGACCCAGCAGTGGAAGCCAGAGGTGAGTTGTGGGTTATAATTCCACAACAGTGCTCACCAAACCCGAAAAAAGTACCAATCCTTTGGAACAAAAAATTGTTCATGTAATTATTATATCACCTCCCGTGGTCGGCAAACCGCGGCTCGCGAGCCACATGCGGCTCTTTGGCCCCTTGAGTGTGGCTCTTCCTCAAAATACCACATGCGGGCCTGCACGTACAGTGCGATTGAAACTTTGTGGCCCATGCGCAGAAGTCAGTATTTTGTGGAAGAGCCGGTATTTTGTGCAAGAGCCACACTCAAGGGGCCAAAGAGCCGCATGTGGCTCGCGAGCCGCAGTTGCCCTGGATGGAGAAGGTTGGAGAGGATGAGGACCTGCGTGGGGAACCTGGAGAGGCTGCTGGGAGTGGACAAGGGCACACCCTGCATAGACACTCCCCCCGCCCCCAAGGAGAACTGAGCTGCTCTGCGGACCTGCCTCAGCTGTGGCGCTGCTGGGAGCAGTGTTTCCCAGTGCGGTGTCTGGAGGTGCCCTGGGAGGTAGTGAGCTCCCAGCATGGGAGGCAGGGGAGTGCAGCGAGCCGATTTTCTGATGGGGAGGTTATGAACGCATTTCAGACGTCAGAAGCAGAATTGGACTCGGTGTTTCCGACGTCATTTTAAATTTGATTCCTTGAAACTGTTATTTACATAATCAATTCGTGTGTTTTACTAAAAGGGTAAGTTTATGTTTTAAAAAGGTAAATTCATGTCATTACTGTAGGGCGGGTATTATAAAAATAGATAAAAGAAACAGAAAGTGGTATTAAGTTCCAACCAAGAACTACCTGCTGAGCGAGCCCCAGACCTGGTTTCAGAGGCCAGTGGCTGTGCAGCCAGGTGTGGGGGATGGGCTGCTGGGAGTGAGCCTTTCTCCTGGTGGGATCAGCACTGCGGAACGAGGAGGGAAAGAACTGGCTCTCCCTCTGGGAGTCACTGCTGTCTGCAGTCTGGTGTGTGAGCCTTCAGCACGGGGGTCTTCATCAACCTCGAGGACACAGGCCCATGGCCCCCCCGGAGCCTGGGCTCATGGCCCACCAAACCCATCTGCCCTCCCCGCCTCCCAGGGACCCTCCCACAGGCACGATAGGAAAGGGAAATCAGAGCAGACGTCCCAACAAAACACAGGCCTCGGCCTTCAAAGGCTGACCCGGTGCCCAGGCACCTGGAGAGGCGGGGCCACCTGTGTGCCTGTGAGGCCTGCCTGCAGGGCAGGGTCGAGCTGGGGTGTCCAGGGGGAGGAAAGATTGGGCCCAGGCTCCAAGCGTGGCTGGCACTGTGGGTTGGGCGGGCCTGCTCCCTATCCTCCCTCTTGCAGTGGAAGAGTTAGGAGGGGCTGGGAGGAGGCCCCAGAGGTCAACCAAGGAGCACAGCGGCTTTGAAAACAAGGACAGCCTGCAAAAGCGACCTGGAACATTCTGAACTCAATCCATCCTATCCCTGTGGGGTTTCGTCTGGAGAGAAAATAATTAGAAAGGAAAGGAAGAAAGAACCCAGGTCCCACTGGTTCCTTGAGGTCCTGCAGGGACGCACACTGCCTGCCCGGCAGCTGGGGGAGGCGAGGGCGGTGCATCCCATTTCACAGCCATTGTTCTCTGACGTCACCTTTATTTTCTCTTTTGTTAATCCTCACCCAAGTGTATTTTTTCCATTGATTTTCAGAGAGCATGGAAGGGATGAAGGGAGGGATGGGAAGAGAGAGAGAAACATAGATGTGAGAGAGACATATCAATTGGCTGCCTCTTGAACCATCTCAACTGGGGCTGGGGATCAAACCTGCAACCAAGACACGTGCCCTTGATTGGGAATCGAACTCCTGGCCCTTCAGTGCGAGGGCCGACACTAACCACTTAGCTCACTGACCAGGGCCCGACATCACCTTTGGAGGCACCCCAATGAACTGAAGTGTGCAAATTGTACGGACACGGCCCTCTCTCCATGGACTCTGGCCTCCTGCAAAGTGTGTCTCCTCTTAAGGTCAGGAGAGAGAGAGAGAGAGAGGGAGAGAGAGAGAGAGAGGAAGAGAGAGAAACTTTCTCCAGGTTCTGATAATGATCCCCCGGACACTCTGCTCCCCAGTCTCCGGGTCTGGCCTGCAAAATGGGGTGCCAGGCATGGCATCCAGCAGCCACCTGGGCAGCGCAGGGCTGTATTGGAAGAATACTTAAAATCCCGTGCTAGCGCTGAGTTTTGTGGTCATGCTGTTTTGGCGAGTTTTGCATATGTGCTGGTGAAGTCATTAGGGATGCTCAACGATGGACATTTCAACCTGATGACAATCGACCCAAGCCTCAGAAATGGTCCGCCAGCGTCTTGGGTCCTGGGTCGAGGCCGTGACCTCGGCAGAAATTCTGGAAGAAACCTTTCTTAAATACTTAAAGTTGTGGTCTCACTGTTTTGCATGAGAAGGGTTTTTGCTGAAGGTTTGGGCTCAAGGCAGTGCGCAGTGGCAGAGCATAGGTGTGTGAGCTGTTGCAGGCTTCGGTGCTAAGCTCAGGTGAGGAGCTGTGTTACCGTGCGGTCCAGGTGGCTGACAGCAGGCACATCGTTTCCCAAAGAAGAGAAACTGGCGTTCAGAGGGGTCCCAGGAAAAGACTCAGCGGGAGTGCAAACTTCCTGGAAGGCGGAGCCTCGTGGGGGAGTAAGCTTGTCAAGTGAGGGGGGGATGTGAGGGCGGGAGGGTCTTTGGTGCCCAGTCCACAGGCGGTTAAAAGCATTTATGTCCTCAACGTCACAATTCTGACTAGGAGGGCAGAGCCCCTTTAGAGCAGGGTGTGGCCAGAGAGCTCACTGGGGACGCTGCCTGGAGCATTTCGTTAGCTCCACCGGGCCTCAGTTTCCCCTTCTCACAGCACTTAGCCCCGTGGTGGGCACACGCATACACAACCCTTGGGTGTGAGCTGTCTTCGTGATTAGCAGCCTTCATCGTTGTTAGCTCCTCCCACACTGACTTGCTGGCCTCTCATGTGAACTGAGACGGTGGCCTTGCTGGGCCGGGACCTGGCCAGCTCTGGACCATGGCCTGGTGGCTGGTCTGGGCAACGGGAACTGCCAATGGCGAGAAGCCCACTCCGGGCCGTGAACATCCCTGCTGCTCCTCGCTTCGTCTCCCACAGCGATGTGGCTCTCAGGAGACTGGGTTTCAATTCTGTCTTTGTCACTTTCAGAGCATCTGCCGCAGGAAAAGCAGCTGCTGGGGAGTCTGATTCCACCGCATGGATCCTGCGTTTTCCAAATGCCCGCGGCCGGGAGCAGATGAACTGCAGGGGAATAACGGCGTCTCCCAAGGCGGTGCGGCGGCCTGCTGGGCGGCGGGCGGACCGGAGACCATCCCTCACAAGCAGGGGCCTGACCGCTGCCCGGCAGGTGGAGCGGCAGCGTGCTTTCCTTGGAAGCCGCCAGCTAACGGGCCGCTGCTCAGAGCCCGCGCCAGAGATTACATTTGGTAGAAGACAGGTCTGGGCTGCCCTTCCTGGCCAGATGGCTCTGAGCTCTGAGGACCATCTGAGGACACCAAAGGCACCCTAAGTTCCAGGAAGGACAGACTGGGGAGTGGGAGAAAGACAGCAGGCGGTCCAGAGAGGCGTCCACAAGAGGCGAGCGCCTTTTCCAGGCCGAGCGCATCGGCACTGTCCAGGCCTGCCCCAAGCGCCCGGCCGCAGGCGTGGGGCCCGAGGTGGGACAGGAGGTCCATCTGGCAGAGGCCTCACATTCCAGAGGCCCTCACATACGCGAGTCATTACGTCAGCTTCAAACAGTCACAGTCACGCAAGCGACGGGCCCCGGCAAGCCTTCCACCTGGCTCCCGTGCCCAGCCCACCCACCTGTAATGCCTGGTATTGCTGTAGGTCCTGTAATTGCCTTGTGACTAGCAAGATTATGTTGCATCGAGGGTGTTTTGGTGTCAAAACCATTAAACACAGCAGGCCAGTTACCAGCAGTTATTTGCGGGCCTGTTTAAGCATCTCTCTGTGTCTTACTTGGTTGGGAACCTCAGCAAACTGAGTGGGCAGGACCTTTCCCTGCCATCAAGGCCCTGCTCTCAGCATCTGTGTCTCCAAGCTGCCACCTCCTCAGGAACCAACTGCCCAGCTGCTACTCAGGCTAATCAACAAACAGGAGCAGGAGGCCCCTGGAAAGAACAGTCACCGACAAGGGGAGGCAGGGCTTCCGGTGGGGCAGCGTGATGCGTTCTGCACTTGGCCTCTGGGTCCCTGTGCCCTTCCAGCCCTTTCCCTCCCTTGGTCAGTGTCCTTGTCCTGTGTCTTCCACTGACCGGGGCCGGAGCTTGCCCCCTGCCCAGGCCCACACCCCACTCCAGCCAGGACCCTCCTTGTACTACAAACACCCCCTAGGTCAGGGGTCCTCAAACTTTTTAAACAGGGGGCCAGTTCACTGTCCCTCAGACCGTTGGAGGGCCGGACTATAGTTTAAAAAAAAACTATGAACAAATTCCTATGCACACTGCACATATCTTATTTTGAAGTAAAAAAAACAAAACGGGAACAAATACAATATTTGTATTTGCATGTGGCCCGCGGGCCGTAGTTTGAGGACCCCTGCCCTAGGTCATCCCCCCTCACCCCGCCCCCCCCGCCCCACGTGCCTTTGCACTCGAAGTGTTCTTCTTGAAAATCTCCTCCTTTGTTGACGAATCTCGCACCCACCGCCTCCAGATCCTCCAGGCCCACACCGCCTCTCTCTCTCCACTCCTGGCAGCGGGTGGCTGGGCTCGTAGCTCCTCCCTGTTTGTGGGGTAGGCCTCTCCCTGGCCCCTGGCAGACTGCATGTTTTTGGAGAACCTTCAAGTAAGCTGGTCATCTGGGGGTGGGAAGGCCCTCACCTAGGTGGGAGGTAGGGGAAGCATGTTCTTGACACATGATCACAAGGGGCTGCCTTCGTTTCCCCAGCCCTGGGGGCAATGTCCTGGACATCCACAGCCTGGAGGCGGCCCCAGTGTGCCCTCCTGGACCACCCCCTCCTTCCCAGCCAACGGCTGGCGGGTTGCCTGAGACACCTCCCCCAGGGGGCATGACAGACAAAATCCCAACCCAGAAACCTACCTCTGGGAGCTTCTGAGTCGGTGACAGAGCTGAGACCAGGCGGTGGCCACATCCACCCCGCAGTTCTCAGGAAGCGCTGGTAGGGTGGCCATTGCCCAGGGTCAGACAGGCCCTGTGTGTGTGCGGTGTTGTGAGAAATGGTTCTGGGGCGGCCGGAATGGAGACCCGAGCAGCCCACTGCCATTCAGCGTCCTTTAGAATCAGTGGGCACTGGGCACAGAGGGCAGAAGGGCTGTGAGCACACAGCAGGTTCTGTCTCCTGGGAGGGGTCACTGAGTCCGGAGGACAGAGGAGCGCTCAGGCGTGCACAGGGACAGCAGGCGCGGCAGGCAGGGGCCCTGGGGCCCAGGCAGCCCTTGCGGGAGCAGCTGAGATGTGGGGCTTTGCCCCAGGGTGTGTGTTGTCCCCACAGAGCCTTGCCCAGAGGCAGAGTGACCAGCCTGGCCCTCCCCAAGCTCCCCAGCTGCCTGCGAAGAGCTGTCTGTCCCAGGCCACTGGAAAGGCTGCTGTGGGACGTCCAGCAAGAGACGGGGGCATGAAAGAGGGGTGCCCGTGGTCCCCGAGATTCCTTCCCCAGAAGTGTCTGCTGTCTGGAGGCCGGGAGCCCTGGTGGTCCTGTCCACATGTGCCTGCTTGCTCTGACCAGGCCTGCTGGTCCTGGGGCGGCCAGGCTGACGAGCTCTCAGACAAGGCAAAGGACAACTCCACATCAGGAAACCTTTTCAAATTCTCTGGACCCCTGGGCTGAGGCCGAGCCTGGAAGGGTTGCTGGGCCCTCTCCCACTTAGCAGGAAACACGGCTTTCTGGGTCACCGAGAGGCCTGCGTGTTCTCTCCGCCCCAGGAGCGCGGAGCCCCTCAAGGCAAGTGGAAAGCCAGCGCAATTTCCGGAGCCCAGGTGGCTGGTGCTGTCGCAGGAAGTGGGGTGGCTCATGGATCTGTGGGGCTCGAGGGTGCCCGTGTCTGCAGGCCCAGCCAGGCGTCCTTCATCTTAAGCAATCTACAGGATGCAGGGCCGGTCCTCAGAGGGCGCCCAGGCACCCCCGAAGCCGAGTGCCCCAGGAGCAGGGACCTTCTCCATGAACAGCGGATCCCAGGAGGGGTGTCCAGCCCGGGCCCGGGACTCGGCGGTTCTGACAAGGGCCCTGTCCTGCACAGGGGATAGTCCCCCGCTGGCGCCAGCTCCCTGGGGGCCCTTGCACCCAGCACTCGAGCCAGGCCCAGCCACAGTCCGGCTCGGGCCTCTCAGTCAACATGCCCCACCCAGGGAGGGGCTGGGTCACCTCCCTCCAGCCCTTCCTCCTGATCCTGCAGCTCCAACCCGCCCCCCACTCAGACGGTCCCTCCCCAACATGTCACTAGGCTCTGCCCCAGGTGTGATCTGGCCCCTCCCTCCCCGTCCTAGTTCAGGGCTTCCCATCTCTGACCACAGCCCCCAATGGCTCCTGTGTCTCCAGCTTCATCCAGCCTTCGCGTACCCACCTTCACATCCTCAGGAGGAAGCTCCCTCCTGACTCCTGGCCTGGGCCCCCAGAGAAGGTGCCCCCACCCTACCCATCCCCTGTGGGAGGCACTGGCTTCTAGTTGGGTAAGGGTGCAACTCCCAGGAGAGGGGCTGCCCTAGCCCAGCCTGGCGGCCCAGCCAAGCAGCCCTGAGAGCGGTTTTAGGGAGAGACCAAGCTGATGTGCGGGAGCTGCCGCGCTCAGGTGAGAGGCCAGACCGCTGCCTCCTGCCCGCCCGCAGGCGTCCTGGGCCCAGCTGTTCAGAGAGAAGGTCCCTCTGGTGTAGGCGGTGGGCATGGCACCAGGTGTCTGACTGGTGGGGTGAGACCAAACCTGGGTTCAGCAACCTCCGTACCTGGGTTCTGGCTAGGAGAGAATTCAGAGCCAAGACCCAAACTCCAAAAGTTCATTTACTGGGAAACATAGAGGTAGAAAAAGTAAGACCTAAAAGAAATGAGGTAGGAAACAAGTCTCAGAGGTAAAGGAAGGCCCTTGGGGTTTGGGAGAGGGAAGCTAATGGTAGCTCCTGGTGAGGGCGGGGAGGGGGAGAGGTGGGGAAGGGAAAGGCACAGGCCGCACTGGACCCTCCACCCTAAGGGGTCTAAGGGGGATTTTAGGGGAGGTCCCAGGAGACGGTCTTAATAGAATAGTCAGCAGTTGGCCAGGTGTGTCCATTCACTGAGGCCCAGATGTCATCCCCAGGCAGGAGAGGGCAGGGGGTCCAAACTGCATGACCAGCGATGTGCAGGAGGAAAGGTCACCCTGGGGGCGAGGTCCCACCTTACAATGGACTGTCCCCTGCTAGGCCCTGGGCTTCCCCCTGGTGGCCTGTGCCTGGCCTTCGTCCTTGCTCTGCCCCCTCCTTCTCCTGGCTGGTCCTGCTCCGCTTTACTCAAGTGACGGGGCCAGCTCCTTGGAGGGCCTGAGCGGCGGGAGGCTCCGGCTTCAGGAGGACAGCACACGCTCACCCTCCTGCCACTGCGTGGGGAGGATGCCGGCGGTGGAGGACCGCACGGAGGCCTCGCCAAGCACCAAGCGCAGAGCCACCACACCATCTGCTATTCCACTTCTGGAGATTCCCCCCAAATCCGAAAGCAGAGACTTGAAAAGAGGTTTGCACACCAGGACGCAGGCCTGCTGCAGGCAAGGAGGCTCCGGTCAGACCAGTGTTCCATGTCCCCGTCGGAGGCGCCCTCGGTGAGTCACTGTCCTCCGAATCTGAGTGAACCAGCCGGGCAGCCCCGCCTCGCTCAGCCAGGCGTGGAGCCTGCCGTTCGGAACCCACCCAGCACAGCAGCCCCACGCCACTCAGGAAGCCCGAGTCACACCCCAGTCCACGGACCTGCACCTTCTTTATCCATTCGCCCCTTGGGGCGGGGGACAAGTGTGGAGATGACGGGCAGGAGGGGGAGGGAGGGCCCAGGACTGGGGCTTGGAGCAGCTTGGGTGAGGGAGGGGTCATCTGGGGGAGGAGAAAGGTGGGGAGAGCAGGTGGGGGGAAGGCACAGCACCTGGGATAGCAGCTCTGCGATGCCTGCCGGACACCCAGAGGTGACAGGAGTGAGCAGCTGGACGTACAGCTCTGGGTTTCAGGGACAATCAGGCCTGGGGGTGAGAAATGGGACGTCATCTGTGGCAACCAGGTGGCACTTATCTGGGACTGAGGCCAGGGGTCCTTCTGGGTGGGGCTGAAGGAGAGGGGCCAGGGGATGGATAGCAGCACCCAGAAAGCTCCAGGGAGGGGCGCTGACCTCTCCCAGGTGCCCTTCTACGGGGGGAAGTTAAGCCAGAGGCCAGCCCGGGGTCCCCCACCCTGCGGCAGTCTGGGAGGCAGCCTGGCCCTGAGAGGAGGCTGAGCAGCAGGAGGAGGGCATGACCACCGCACAGCAGGCTGGCCGGGGCTGCCACCTGGCACCGCGGGCAGACCCTTTAGGAGGACTCTCAAGGGCCAAAGGGCGAGGGGCCGGTCCCTGCTCTTTGTCAAGCATCCCGAGACGCTCTGAGCAAGCCACAAGCCTCCTCAGAGCCTCGCTTTCCCCACTTTTACAGCGACAGAACTGAACTCCTGTTAGAGCCCCAGCGACCGAAGGCAGACCCAGGCAGAGCGGCCGGCCGCCGGCCCTCAGACATACTCTCCGCTCTGCAGGATCCCAGCCCTGGTCTGAGGCCCCGGGGGCCTGCGGTGTCTGGGACAAGGAGGGAAGTCACTGTAAAGGAAGGGCACCCAGAAAGGGCCAGGCCACGGGGAGGAGGGGCGGTGCTGCTGGTCAGGCATCGCCCTGTCACCCCTGTCCTCCAGCTGAACCGCACGAGTGCCCTAGAGTCACGTCTGAGCAGCCCCCGCATGTCTCCGCGGCTTCCTGTGCAGTCTCATCAGGA